ATTTGCATAATAATTTCATACAGACTCTAGATAGATATCAACAGACTGAGATAGATAAATAGATATATAGAGAGATAGTTCACATCCAATAAATGGTTATTATTAGTATGTTTTTTTGGTTTCTTTTTGATTTGTATATATATATATATATATATATATATATATATATATATATATATATATAAATATATATATATAGTCGAATTTGAAACTGAGAAGTTTTTAGCACCCGTTTCTATATATATAAGTACACACATACACGCACGCACACACACACACATATATTATACAGTCTGTGCATAAAAGACATCATCAATATATTTTATTTGTTTTTCTGTTTGATATATATATATATATATATATATATATATATATATATATAATATAATATATTAAAAAATCATCCAACGAAAGAAATGTCTCTTCTCTTTAAAATATAGACATTTCTTTCGTTGGAACAACTATAATATATAAAGAAATGTCTATATTTTAAAGAGAGAAGATGCCATTTAATCATTGTGTGATTTTATTTATATTTTATTTTCTATATATTTTGCTATACGTGTTTCGGGTCCTGTACTTTCATCAGGCGAAGAATGGTTATTTCCACATATTATTTAAAGGAATTATTTTTTTGATGTTGAATTTTTAAACCATTGTCTTTTGTGTATAGTAGTAATCCAAAATCATCTTGGAATGGTGAAAGATGATTTTGGATTACTACTAAAAGCCCTCCTGATTATAAGCATTTATTTGATGTGAACTCTCTATCTTTCTTTAAATCTATCTATCTCAATCTATTCATATCTATCTCCAGTCCGTCTGAAGTTATTATGCAAATCGCATTTAACCTCAATAACTCGAATTTCGTTCTTGTCAAATTTAAAATGATTAATTAAAAAACATCAAACAATTAATTTCTTTAAATAATATGTGGAAATAAACATTCTTTGCCTGATGAAGTTAACAAGACTCAAGACACTTGTAGCAAAAAATAGAGAAAATAAAATATAATATTTACAGGCAGTATTTGGTGGTCGCTTTAGGTCAGTCTGTCAATTTATATGTATCGACAGTTTGAAAGCTTCCTGATTAGTTTGTGCCAACAGTAAAGAAGCTGGTACAAAGGAATAAAAAAAAAAATTCAAAGTCTTGTTGGCAGTCACGCTTTAACAACAAGAGTGGGGTTTCTGCTCTGCCAAATTTGTCCTTCGTCTTTCAAGCCATTACACTACGTGATTCGAGGACATTGGCCAACCATCCAGAAGATGCAAATGCCTGACACACAAAGGCTGTTGAATTTATTTTGAGATAATTGTGTCTGTCTGTGTGTGTGTGGGTGTCTCTTTACACATATATACATCACAACTTCTTGTTCCTTGTATATGAATCACAGATCTCTCTATTTCAAATAAGGTGTAAAAAGAGATTTAAAAAAAAAAAAAACGGATTCGTCTGTAACTTTCCAAAAACGTAGATTTTCAGCTTCGAAATTGTATCGTCAAAAACTGATTTCAGTCTGGCAAATGAAAATTTGTCAAAAATTTACCGCATTTTTTTCATCTACCATATCTCTTCAGGACGCTGGCGATCATAGCTCTCCACAATTTCCTGTCTTTTGTATCTTTAAATAAATTTTATATTTTTGTTATCTCTCCTAAACCCTATTTCGCCATCCATTTACTCAAGCTTGCTAGGTAGGTTATACGTTGTTTTCGTCCGTCCTACTTGCATTTAATTTGTCCTGTGTGTATCAAATTTACCAAGCCCCCTTTCCTCATTATGTACCTTAGAAATTTCAACTCTCTCTTCCTGATGTTAAGTATGTCCTTTTTGATTCCATTTTCCCCAAAACTTCATCATTTCTTAAATGTTCGATCCATGGTATTCTCAGCATCCTCCTGTAAAACCACATTTCTGTTGCTTCAAGTCTCTTCTTGATCTGGGAGGAGATTTTCCAGCATTCAATGCCATAGGATATTACGTAACAGTCCATTACTCTTCTTTGTTTCTAGCAAAATTGTCCTGTTTCTTAATACTTTGCTTAACTTTTGGGTTGCGTCTTTTGTTACACCAATTCGCCTTCGGATTTCGGTGTCACACTTTCTGTTCTTTGTTGAAATACTTACCAGATATTTAAACTGTACTTCTTCGATCGACTATAGTCAGTTTAGTCTAGGCAAACCTCCAGCATAATGTGAAACTTTGCACCAGGAATATTTCCCCGAGTCATTTAGCTGCTAATTGTCCTCCATAATGTCCGAGAGGATTCCATTAAAATATTAATATCACTATCTCCATCAGATACGGACATTTATCCTTTTTTAAAGAATCTAACATTAATTTATACTAGATATTTCCAGTATGAATATGATTGTTATCGGCTTACCGCCATATTACTGTTGAAACATCAGTAATTGTACGATCACCGAAGTTAAGCAACGTCGGGGCTGGTCAGTACCTAGATGGGTGACCGCTTGGGGATATCAGGTGCTGTAAGCTTGATGCGAGTGGTGTAATGGATATCGGCTCAGAATTGTAAATCGGAGAGCCGAGTTTCAGTTCTAGTGGAGCACGTTATATTCACTTACGCGCAAATACTATTGGGTAAGGTATGAACCCACTCCCCCCGACTATGGGTTAATTAGTAAATCTTGTATCAGTAAAAATCATTATTATCTCCCCCAAATGTTTACACTTTAAAAATATTTTCCGGTTTTAAATATCCTGCAGAAGATTGATAAGTCGTAGAAAAACAGTTTCTATCTATAAAAAAAATAAAACAAAGAAAAACAAAAATGTTGGTAGATATCCATTTTTTAAACTCATGATTATAAAGTCCAAAACCCCACGTTAATTGCGATCTCCTTAATCTTTTTCATGGTTGTATAGTATGCATCTCGACAGACCTACATAGGGGTTTGAATTTAGAGTTGTCCCTCTCCTCGACTCTAAACACGGCTAGAGAGCCCAGTATGCCCTGCCATTTAGCCCATAGATTGCTGGTTGGTTTTCCAAGTGTATTTGTGTGAAAGTGAATGCAGCGAACTTTACCGGAATTCAAACTTGACTACCTAATTCGTTTAACAAAGAAGAGTCTCATATGAATTTATGGACATTTCGATTTTTGTTCACATTATCGTCAGTGCATTTGAATGGAAGTCCTTTTTATGCAAACGAGAACGGAGCATTAAGCGGAAAAATGTAAAGTTTAATGACATTTTCGAGTATGAACCTTTTTTAAAAGAATTTTATTTTAGTTTTTCCTTTTAACAACTGTTAGATAATTTTTGGTATGAAAGTATCATAGACATGATTCTGGTATCTCGCTTTCACTACTATTTAATGTAGGAAGAATATTATGATATTCAATTAATCGAAATTCATATCTCCCGTTCAGTCAGACTTTTTTTCTCTTGAAAGCACCGTTTTCCGATTCGTTGGAACGGGTGTTTTCTTTTTTAGTGTGTCTGTTTTCCTGCAATTATTTACAGTGTAGAGGAAAGTTTGGTGGCTATCATATATTTAATGGTATTGACGGCTCAAATCAATCCATACAATTTTTTACTCTACGAATGTTAAGCAAAATGCAAAAACAACAAAAGAAAACAGCAAGAAACATTTGTGATAAAAGGCAAATATTTGAATAACAAGTATTTTTAATATATTTTTGTAATGAAAATATTTTACAAAAATGTAGTGGATTTTTTAGGTGAAATCTTGTTAGTTTAATTTATGTTGAACTCAAGTTTGGTGAAAGATTAAATTTTGTTAATGAGTTTTGATTTGAAAGGATGTTTGTTAGAATCTGTTATTGAAGATTCTGTAAATTAATTAAAGAGAAAATTTACATTTAAGAATTTACTGTTCATGTAAGTAGTAAATGTTTGTAAAATTGAATGCAATTTGTGACTGTCAAAGAAGTTATCTACCTTTGATTGTTTTGTGTAATACAATGTTCTCGAATGTTGAGAAAAAAGTTGATTTGTTAACAGGAATTTGTTTAACTTCTGCGTAAGGAATTTGGTGAGGAATGGGAATAGAGTTCACTGGTGAGCTTTGGAGAGGGGTGCGAATATCGTTAAGTTGTATAATGTCTGTATGAACGAAAAACTTAAGGTTGTGTGACGAAGTTTAGTTGCAATTGTTTGATGTCACAATGCTCACTGGCGATTGTGAATGAGTTTCTGTTTTTATTTGCTTCGGGTGGCTCACAGAATTTGGATTTCAGTCACAAGCTGTAAACATTAGTTAAGCGTGGGTGGGTAGTCACGTCTATTTGTATATTTATTTACTAATGAGGGCTCGAGGTTTTTTGAAAGTGTGTATGAAGTTGAAAGTGTTCTGTGATCCACTTTTTGCACAGATTTGATCAAACTATTTTTAGATATTGGAATAATGTATAATTTGGGTTCTACAAAACTATTTCAGTAACATTAAAGAATTCGTTATACTGTAATTTTTCTAAAAAAAAACATTTTTTTTTCTTTTCACATTAATCTACGCAAATTGCATTTACGCTACATTTTTTTTAGGTATTGACTTAATGTCTTCAAATTTAATCATTATAATAATTTTAATAAAAGTGTGTAGAATAGAAATTATATTCTTAAACTATTGGTAATATAAAATTAAAGAAAATGTATTTTTAAACATAACTAAGAAATTTTTGAATATTGCATTTCTAGTTCCAGTATTTCGTTAGATTTTATTTTCCCTTTATAACGCGCTTTTTAGGACAAGGGTAGAATTACATTGATTTTATTTTGTCCTTTGACTTCACAGGCTACCGTGTGTATTCTGTTTTATGTCAAAGGCAAGCATTACTTTTACAAAATCCTGTTGATTCCTAAATTTATTTGTAAACTTTCAAACACATTTTGGGAGAAAAACTGGATTTTGAAGAAATTTTTTAGTTTGTTGTTTACATTTTTCGTATACAGTGGCGGCTCGATGAGTTGATGAGTGCGAAAATTAATTTTTATCAGATTAGCTTTAGGCCATTATCATTTAAGAAGGAACCGAAATTTAAGTTCATAGAAGGTATTTAATTGATTTAAAATGTGTTTTCTGTTGTTTTTTTTTTCATTTTAGAAAGTTTGTAATTGTACCTAGACAATATTGCTTTTAAATAATCGGATTTTTTTTTACTCAAGTAATCTAAGGGAAATAATAAGAGTTATAGGTTACGTCCCTTGGATTATTTATTTTTAACTCAGTTTTACGATGTTGTCATTTTTATCGATCACTATGGTCAGACATTGGTACCTCCATTAATTCGGAATAAATTTTCGATACCTAACGTTTAAAATGAATTTTTAAAAAATCAGCTTTAATTGAAAGCTAAAGGATTAAATTGACTATTTGCAGAAGGAAACTTTGGTGTATTAACTCTGGTGTATTTTAAATAGAAATTATTATACAGATTGGAATGTCAAATATTTGCTCGATTTCAAAAAATCTGTTTACTGGCGGCCATTAAGTTTTAAAATAAAATTTAATTATTTTATTTTTTATAAAATTTTAAAATCTTCCAAAAATAAGATACATATTTGTAACACATTATTTGAGTAAAATTAACAAATTTAAAGTTAAAATTAATCTGAATTGAAACAAATATTACTTATAGCATAAAACAATTTTTTAACGAGGTGTCCTGTATTTTCCAAGTCTTTATTGATGTTGTCGATAAGTTCCGAGGTGTTGATTGCTAGTATGGATGGCCAGAATTGACATAAATTTATGAAATCTAACTGAACCTTTTTTTTTGTTTTTTAACTACCTAGTGATTTTTACAAATTAACATATTTTCAGCAATTATCTAATATTTTATTGACTTTTAATTACGTTGAAGATGCTTTATGAAAAAATAATAAAATTTAAAATATTATAATTTTTTTTTTAGATTAATTCTAAAATTTAATAACTGAGATGAAATACCATGATAGAGGTAACTCGATAATTTATGACCCACACTAAAATAAATACATAAAATAAAAATATTTCTGGAAAGAGAAAAACTTACTTTCAATTTTAATGTTTTAAAACTGAAAGGATGATGTTCAAAATCTGTTGAAACGTAAGCAATTAATAACGAATTGAAGACAAGCCAGTTTATCATAAAAAGAGGACAACTTTTTAGAATACATGACCTTTTCATAATAATGTTACATATAGACTAGCATAGATGAATAATGGGAATGCTTAAAGTATAAAAAATTAAATTATTTTAAAAATATTGGTGCAAAACGACTTATATTAAACTTTTCAATTTTTGATTCGTAAATATAGTTTCTACTTAATTACAATATCACCTAAACGAAATACGGCGCGATAGATTTTTAAACGATTCTTAAATTATAACTTAATAATATTAAAAAAAAAAGAAAAAAATTCTTGTAAAAATTCATTATTCCTCGAAAATTGTTTCTTAAGACAATAATGTCCTATATATAACTCATTTACAAAAGGAATTAAAAATTTTTTTAATTAAATAATGTCATAGTTATATTAGATTTTTTACGTTACCATTCGGAGCAGACTTTCAGAAAACGAGCAAAAGTTTGAAATATATATATATATATATATATATATATATATATATGTGTGTGTGTGTGTATGTGTGTGTGTGTGTGTGTGTATGCGTGTGTGTGTGTGGTGTGTGTGTATGTTTGTGTCTGATCAATTCCAATTTTTTATTATCCCTTATCAGAGGAACATTTTCTCCACCAGTATAAGAAGAATTTGGATTGCTACCACGCACAAAAGACAATGGTTAAACATAAGAAAGCAAGGAAAAAAAATTAATTCCTTTAAATAATATGAGGAAATAACCATGCTTCGCCTGATGAAGGTCTCAAGACCCGAAACCCGTGCAGGAAAAATATGTAAAATAAAGTATAATATATATTTAAAAAAATTAATATTATAACCAAATTCGTTTGGTTAAGTAGAACTGACAATGTCTGTTTCTTTAATTTTTTATTATATTTTTTCCAATTTTCGGATAAGGCGTTGGGTATTGTGCTTGAAGTTGTGGAAAAACTGTCCAAAGTTCATGTTTTTGTTATTTTTATTCAAGTACTTCTACTTTTACAGTCATTATGAAGAACCTATTTGATGTCTTGATGTCTTAATGGCAGTTAGAATTTCTTTGTCTACATCCTGGTATTCTTTGGAAACCTGGACGTTTGAAATAGTCTCGCGGAACGCCATGTGTAAAACCTTTTGGGAACGAGGCTGCACAAAAAGAACGCAATTTATTTATTAATTGATTTATTTAAATTATTATTATTATTATTATTATTATTATTATTATTATTATTATTATTATAAAATACGTGCGCACATAAATTATATAATATACGTCCCTCTTTGTAGGAAAAGCCGTCATTTGATCTGGCGTGATTTACCAGTCAGTTAGGAAGATGGGCTTTCGAGCAAAAACTATCTGAGTGAGTAGGGTGTACTTTCATTAAAAGTGAAACTATAGTCTTGCTA